CCATGTTTGTGATTGGTCGAATGCTCCAGATACCACCCCTTTCATGTGAACGCGCACCTAACTAGATAGGACACGGCTGGCTTGAGCGATCCACTTGATAACCAGCGTCGTAGTACAATTTAGCGAGAGCGCGTATGTTTTGGATTAGGCCAACCGGCTAACTCAAACATATCCAGGTTAGGTTGAGCCAGCTTCGTAGTATAGGCCCCAGATAAACCCAGTTTCCATATTCAAGACTCGTCTGGGCAACAAACAGTTCTTACAAATAACTCAGTAAGAGGAAAACGACAAAACACCAGAACAAAACTCAGAGTTCACTCACATCGTGCCCTCATAACGGGTCCAAAATGTCTGTGTCAAAAACTGTAATGAAACTAAATATTATTATTATTTTACACTTTGACTTTCAATTAACTCCAGTCCAGATTACAACTACCAAATACTTTTTGATTAGTAACCCTTTAATGCCAGTTTGTGTACATATTGTCTGATTTAAATTTTGATTATATTTAACATCATTAATCAAAATCTGTAAAACAACTAAAGGTGTTAAAGTGGAGTAGAAGTACAAAGTAACAACAAATTGAAATACTCAATTAAAGTACAAGTACCTCAAATGTGTACTTGTGCAGTACTCGAGTAACTGTACTTTGTTATTTTACACCACGGCCTTTAAATGATAGTTTGTGTACATAATCCCACTATTGTTTACAACATGAAAAAACACATATTTAATTGTACTACTTCTGCTTTTATTCTTTCTTCAGTCTGGGATATTTTACTGATGAGCAAGAGCATCTATTTTCAAAGACATTATACAGTAGCCATGCCAAATAGGGCAAAGTAGCTCAATCTAGTGGAAAATAGAAAAAAGGAGGCTCTATATTTTAAGACTGATGTCATACAAATGAAGGCAAGGCAAGTTTATTTATATATATATATATAATATATAATATATATATAATATACACTTTTCAACACAAGGCAATTCAAAGTGCTTTACAAAAATGAAAGACATTAAGAAAATGGCATTTAAAATCAGTCATTAAAAAGAAAAGCTAATAAAATAAACATTAGCTAATAAAATAAAACATGAACAGCATCTATGGAGTAATGGCTGTGGGGTCAAGGGTGTGTACTTAATGTGTTTCAATGGGGAGGTTTGTGTGTCTGTCTCAAAGCAAGGCATACAAAATATGTTGTTTGTAACAGCAGTATCTAAAAAGCCAGAGAAAATTAATCCCCTTTCTATTTGGGACGTGGTAATAGCCTTGTATTTGTTTACAATGTTCTTTTAGGATTGGAAGTTGGATAAGCAGCCGTTTGAGCTTTCAGATAATATTGTATTTGAGGTAAAATCCTCTGACACATTTGATATGTAGGCTAGTGGGAATCTATGTTGTATATATTGAAAAGTGTCAAAGTCCAAAAGGGATAAATACCGAAGAAAAGGGTTATCATGGGAACGACAAGGAGATCAAAACAAAACAGTGACGCCATAAGAGACTGAAACCCGGAAGCTGTGGCTTTTTAAGAAACATCTTACAAATCCAACAACAACTGTAAATGTATCTATATTATTAATTGACTTCAGTCATAATACACATTAAAATCAGAATGACACTATGAGTTAGTAACCGTAAATAAAATAAACAAAGACGCACATGTTCACACGTCTAACTCCATTCTCAATCTGGCAATTCAACACTAAATTCACGTTATTTTGAATAAAAACACATTTGAAGTTGGGTATAATGTTTAACTTTACACATCGACACATGTTTGTCATCTTTAAATGTTTAGGTTACTTATTTTCACCATATAGCCCATGAGGGTTGCTCAGTAGCGTATGAAGGCAGAAACAGAGCGACTGTAGATTCAAAAAGTACCCGGATGTGGGCCGACAGAGCATGCGCGGTTGAGTTTCCCTTAAGCCCAGCCTCCGACCTCCGGCTCTCGGCTCATTCAAATGAATGGAGATGTACAATAACACTGGATTCAGCTTTTAGTGCATTTTACACCTTTAAGACCATAATGATTTAAATAAGGGCTTTACAAGTGTTCGTGCTGGGAAGTTAATTAAGCTCCAAAAAAAGTACACGCCGATTTACAGACGTCTCTTTACCCAATGTAAGTCAATGGAGAAAAGTATTTTTGAGCCAGAATGACGTCATGGGACGTGTAGTACCACCGTTTGGCCACTACTTCCATTAAAAAGAAATCGGCTTCAACGGTCGGAGAAAATACTACATTTCTAAATAATGGAAAGTAACTTATTTGGTTCCGTGTTTTACAATGTACGCCTATTTTAAGGTATTCATAGTACTTATAATGTTAAATAATATGTCTACAGATACTGGGGTAGTAACATATTTAAGACTTGTTTATATAGTTTGTCACATGACTTTCTGTAGATCTTTATCTGTTTTCCTTTGCACACAACGCGTACTTAAAATAGTCAAGAAACCGTAAAAATACAAAGCCTACATACATCGTGTAACAACAACACAAGCGTTAAATGTTTACTTACACAACTGGCGAGGGACCCTATTGCCAAACAAGCCCCCATGTTGATTTAATCCACAAATATAGTTATATAGATGAAAAGCGTGAAATGTTGAAAAAGTTCAGGAAGAAACCGAAACTGTATAAAGTCAAGTTAGTGATGTCTAGCTTCTTTAAAGAAACCGACGGATATCCGTTAAGCCTCTTCAAAATAAAAGCATGCAGTCAGTCACGTGAAGCCTACACATACACTCTAAATTACATCGTGTGCATGTTGGAAGTAAATCTTGGCAGCAGATATCTATACATAACACGAATTGGTGCAATATTAGAAGTTATGTTATATTTAACACAAGTTATAATATTACATTCACATTATTGTATATTTCTTTGATTCTTCATATCTCAATATAATGTTGTTAAAGGTCCCCTATTATACAGTTTTTCATCAATATATTATAGGTCTCAGATATATACAAAACATGTCTCTGAAGTGTTTGGCTCCAAATACCAAACAGATCATTGCAGCATCCCAGAATCCCCTCTGTTTCAGCCCTGTTTCAAAAGTGCTGATTCTCTATCTGTTACTTTAGATGAAAATAAGGAGCCACTCCCCACGCCCCTCTGAGAGATATTTGGTTCAAAAGAACACACCGGAGTACTTTTCCCCGTACTTTTCGTAGTTCTGTTAGTACCCCTTATTTTGCGTTCACACCAAAAATAGTACTAGTGCCGAGAACTTTTACCCCCATTTGTAGTGCCTGCTAGAGAGGTGGTACTATCCTGGGGGGGGGGGAAGTACCAATTTCTGAGTGTAGGAGGGGCCGATCGCCCCGCCTACACTGCGTTGCTACCCCAGGTCCTAAACTGTAATGGAAATGCGCCACGGCCTCGGACGGCCAGCGAGGTAGGACGCTTAGGGACGCTTAAACGGTGCTACCCCGCTGCAGTGGAAAGGTGCCATAAGTGCCGGCACTATACGGCAAAGTACTTGGTGTGAAAGCGGTTTTTACTTTTTATATAAATGGATCAGGACCATTGTCATTTTCTTTTTTTCTAAATTTATTTTTCTTGTTCACACATTTGTAATAGTTTATTTTCATATTCTATATCAACTTGTGTATTATCGTATTTTATATTGTATTTGACTGTGTTCATAGCATTGGCCAATACACCACAGAGACACACACAGAAACACACACATACACACACACACACACACACACACACACACACACACACACACACACACACACACACACACACACACACACACACACACACACACACACACACACACACAGAGAGACACAAACACAACAGAGACACACAAACACATGAATTAGAACATATTTCTATATTGTTTTATTGAACTAATGGAGAACAACAGCCCACAGGCCATTTCAAAGTAATGTCCTAAGAGCAGATAGGAAAGCATACTGATTAAGTTAGCAAACAGTATAGGTCTGATGATGAAGGTTAGTGAGTTTAAAACCACAGGAGGTGAAATCTCCATCTGTTTGAGTCTGACCTTCAGACTGTGAATAATATGTGCAAAGATAAAGCTCCAGCACACCTTATTCTTCCTTGTCATATCCTCATAAGAAGCAGAATGATGCTGTACACATTAATGCACCTGAATGAGCAGTTTAATAATTTGATGCTAATCACATAATAGATTAATTGCAAGAAAACCTGTTGATTGAACCCATGACAGCCTCTGCTTTCTATGGCTATTTAAGGAGGGAGTATCTACAAGACAACTAGACAAGTGCGTTAATTTATCATCTGTGTTATAACAATGAGATAAGGAAAGGTAAAGTAGATCGTCCTTATAATTTAGGACTGAGGACAAATTACTGAGTGATTTGATAATATCATTAAACAATACAGATTTTACAATCTGAATGTGGAGAGACATACAGTGCACCCCTTACTATAAATACAATGGTACAAACCTTTGAGCAGTAGCAGCAACACAAAACAGCCGGAGTTTCACCGGAAACTGTATCATCAGGTTTTCAAAATAAAACTAATAAAAATGACGATCCATTCGCAATCACTGCTACAAATTCGAGATAATAATAATAAATAATAATAATAGTAATGATAATTAAATTGCCCCATTATAAGGCTACAACATTTAAAAGATTGTAAGTGAATTAGTGAAACTATTACATGTGTAACATTATTTTACCAATGTTATTGTTATTATTATTTATGTTATGAATATTGTATCGCATACCTAGTGTGTTTATTCTCTTTTATCTTTCATATTTGTAATGCTTTTACTTATTTACATAATTTTCTATAATAATAATAATAATACTCAAAGAGGCTTTACAACCCAACAAACATGTAATACAAACATTCAAACAAACATACATACAAAATTAAAACACAACATTCAATGAAACGGGAAAAGAAAAGCCTTGCAGCTGTTGTGCTTTTACTTTGAAGGCCTCCTCTTCCGGTCGGCTCCGGGCTCCGCGCTGTCAGCCTGTCGCTCCTCCCTGTTCTGCCGGGAATGAGCGCTCGGAGCCCGGCTGTCCGTCTGCTGTCTGCCCGCTGAGCTCCACTATGCCGCGGGTCCAGCAGCTGTAATGAAGCCGTCTAACGAGTCCTATTCCCCGCTCTTTCTCGTCTTCGTCCCTGCAGAAGATGGTGGCTGGCGGTTAGTTCCAATTTCGGACACCGTGGGGTATTTTTTCCTCGGAGAAGCGCACTGAAATCCGAAGGTGAGTGTCCGTCAAGGCAAATATATGCACGCTGTCACCTGTTCTGCTCCACAGGTAGGACGTCAGGCTGCTGGTCGAGAAACCTGCAACAGCATGCAGAGGAATACATGCTGGAAGAAAAGCGGCAGGTTATATGAGATTATTATATGCGTGCATGCAGGAATAATGAGGCTGGAGACAGTATGTGCCCTGAAACTGACCAAGGAAAATCTAAAACAACATGTCCTGATGTGCAAACTCATCTTCCACATACATATCTGCTAAAATGTAAGACTAAGAGGCCCACAAGAGGCTACCTGTCAGCTCCATACGGCCTCTCACTATTGTTTGCATCAGCTGTTCTCGTGGAAATGTCACTGGCAGCTGGATTATCTCCTGGGGGACCATAACACCTTGACATTCTGTGAATAATCATGATATTGGGCAAAAATTGTCCGAATTCAGTTGTGCCAAACTAAAATTGCACATTTAAACGTTAAACATCTGTTAATACGTACCAGAAAAGCATATTTTGGGTTTTCATTTCACTCACACCCAAAAGATTGGCCAAATCTAAATCCCTTTGTGACCTAAAAGAGACTAAATCTATCACATATACCTGCATTAGATGATAAAACATGCATTTAAAATAATATCATATTGATATAATGTAGGTCCGATTATAAGAAAACCCTAAAGGAACTGTCCCTGGAATAAAAACAGTAAACATTATGTGTTTAAGGAAATAATATATCTTTGTTGAATATTGTGATAATGATATTACTTCCTATAAATCAGATATTAAAGTGTATTTGCTGCTCTTTTCAGCTCCTTCTGCTTGTTTAATCAAAACCAAAGGGAATAATACGAAATATTATTTTATTCAACAAATTGATCACAAAGGCACTAATTTAGAAAAAATAAAATAAATAAAGTAACATTTTAAAGGGCAATCCTTGACTAAAAATCGTTTTTTAACTAATAATAATTATAATCCTTTAGTGCAATTGTCTTATTGCATGGAAGATTACACATTTAAATATATTTTGCAGCTTTAAGTTAGAGATGAGATGCTGAAAAACCTCAAAATTATAATGTATAACCCTGACTGCTTATATGATGTAATGTGACTATTATCAAACCCTTAAGTCTTGATGTAAGAAAGAGTAGTGTGTGTGTTGTGTGTGTGTGTGTGTGTGTGTGTGTGTGTGTGTGTGGTGTGTGTGTGTGTGGGTGTGTGTGTGTGTGTGTGGTGTGTGTGTGTGTGTGTGTGTGTGTGTGTGTGTTGTGGGGTGTGTGTGTGTGTGTGTGTGTGTGTGGTGTGTGTGTGTGTGGTGTGTGTGTGTGTGTGTGTGTGTGGTGTGTGTGTGTGTGTGTGTGTGTGTGTGTGTGTGTGTGTGTGTGTGTGTGTGTGTGTGTGTGTCTCTGTGGGTGTGTGTCTCTGTGGGTGTGTGTGTGTGTGTGTGTGTCTCTGTGGGTGTGTGTCTCTGTGGGTGTGTGGGTGTGTGTGTGTGTCTCTGTGGGTGTGTGTCTCTGTGTGTCTCTGTGTGTGTGTTATCCTGATCCTTTGGAGAGCATCTAGTGTTCCTTGTGTGCAGAAGCCTGTGAACAAGCCTCATTTTGTATGCCTTGGTGAATGTGGAGCAGAAAACGTTTCAAAAAAATGAGCAACATTTTAAATATTTCTGGGTCCTCTAGTATTATATAGTGAATCATGAATGTGATGCACCATGGGAGTAAGGAAAGTGAAGTCTGATATCTTCCTTGCTATTTTTACATCTTGGCTTTACTTCCCTGCATGCTTTCCGCTTAATTGAAGGATTTCACCGGGTGTTAATTGCTTATTCTTGAGGTCAGTTTTGGAGTTTTTCTTGATGTTGATTTAGTGTCTTGTTGCTGTTTTTGCTTTAAGATGCAGTGAACACCTGTGTATTCACACAATTGAGTGGTGCAGGAATGAGTCCTTAAACCCGATAATTAGTCAGCATTTCCACTTCCAGACCCTTTGTATCAAAGTCAATGTTTTTTTGTATGTTGTATGTCAAGCTGAAGAGATTTAAATTCTACGACATAAAAAACGTCAGTAAATACCCCACTGGTGAATTTAAAAACGGAGGTTGATAACAAGTGTCTAAATGAGACGACTAAACGTCATCACGCCCAACATTAGCCTTCTTTAGCTTAGCGGTGGTGAGGTTTAGTCATGTGACCGTAATGTAGTTCCTGTATAGCCCAACATTAGCCGCCTTTAGCTTAGCGGTGGTGACGTGAAGTCATGTGACCGTGCTGTAGTTCCTGTATAGCCCAACATTAGCCTCCTTTAGCTTAGCGTGGTGACGTGAAGTCATGTGACCGTGCTGTAGTTCCTTTATTGCCCAACATTAGCCTCCTTTAGCTTAGTGGTGGTGACGTGAAGTCATGTGACCGTGCTGTAGTTCCTTTATAGCCCAACATTAGCCGCCTTTAGCTTAGCGGTGGTGACGTGAAGTCATGTGACCGTGCTGTAGTTCCTGTATAGCCCAACATTAGCCTCCTTTAGCTTAGCGGTGGTGACGTGAAGTCATGTGACCGTGCTGTAGTTCCTTTATAGCCCAACATTAGCCTCCTTTAGCTTAGTGGGTGGTGACGTGAAGTCATGTGACCGTGCTGTAGTTCCTTTATAGCCCAACATTAGCCACCTTTAGCTTAGCGGTGGTGACGTGAAGTCATGTGACCGTGCTGTAGTTCCTGTATAGCCCAACATTAGCCTCTTTTAGCTTAGCAGTGGTGATGTGAAGTCATGTGACCGTGCTGTAGTTCCTGTATAGCCCAACATTAGCCTCCTTTAGCTTAGCGGTGGTGACGTGAAGTCATGTGACCGTGCTGTAGTTCCTGTATAGCCTAACGTTAGCTTTTTACTTCAAAATCATCATTATCGAAGAACTGCAATGAAGTGTATTCTTGATGAATTTAAGCAGTTTTCATGACCAATGTTCAAGAGTTTGATAGACAGATTGTTTATCCATTCGCCTGCGTGTACATATTAAATGCAGTTGTTTCCCTCTTTAAAACAAATTAAATGTATCTAGATCACACAGAAAACAAATATCACAGCTGTCTTACATTTTCAACTAATAAATCAAATATTATTTATATTCACACACATTTCCGCTTCAGTCTAAAAATATCTATATCACACATCCACATTAATTGATGAAGCTCTCATTTGTATCCTGGCTCTTTAATGAGGAAGAGTTGGAGACAGCTGGATGGAGATAAGCTGCTCAGGAGAGGCCACTGCAGATGAAAGAGATTTTATTGGTAAAGCACCTGTTAGATGATAGTACTGGCAGCCTTTGTTCCTCGTAAAGATAAATGTGAGGCTGCAGGAGGCTGGAGATAAAAGGTGACACCATAATGAGTGTTTGTGTGTGTGTGTGTGTGTGTGTGGTGTGTGTGTGTGTGTGTGTGTGTGTGTGTGTGTGTGTGTGTGTGTGTGTGTGTGTGTGTGTGTGTGTGTGTGTGTGTGTGTGTGTGTGTGTGTGTGTGTGTGTGTGTGTGTGTGTGTGTGTGTGTGTGTGTGTGTGTGTGTGTGTGTGTGTGTGTGTGTGTGTGTGTGTGTGTGTGTGTGTGTGTGTGTGTGTGTTTGTCACCTGCCACCATGTGTTAACATGCAGTGACACAGATCCTAATTTCCAAGAAAGAGCAGGAGGAGGAAAGTGAACAGATGATAGGAAGTCAGATGATTCACAAGTGCACAAAGTCTATTTACCTCCATTTTTTACATTTTAAAGTTCAGCTTTGTTCAGAATCAGAATACATTTATTAGTCTCACAGTTGTTGCTAGAACAGAACCTATTATGCTTTCTTAAATAGGTTTTAGCGCATGTAAAGGGTCTGCAAAGTCTGAAATCCCTGTGTTCTCTCCAGAGGGAGCCCCCCCCCTCCCGCCTGAAACTCCATTGGACTCCTTTGTTTACTTCAGGAACATAGTGACATCACTATGTAACGCCCACACTCCTATTGGCTAGCATCTCTAAGCAGTTGACCAATCACAACAGAGCGACCAATCACAACAGAGCCGGACAGCTAACCAATCAGAGCGGACTAGGCTCTGGTTTCAGACAGAGGGTGAAAAGAGGTGCTGCAGCACAGACAGTATGAGAAAAATAAAGAGCTTTTTGAACATTAAAGCATGGAGACATGTAGAGACACTACATACTGATATACACCTGAACATCAGCAGGAGAGGACTCTTTAAAGTAGAGACACTACATACTGATATACACCTGAACATCAGCAGGAGAGGACTCTTTAAAGTAGAGACACTACATACTGATATACACCTGAACATCAGCAGGAGAGGACTCTTTAAAGTAGAGACACTACATACTGATATACACCTGAACATCAGCAGGAGAGGACTCTTTAAAGTAGAGACACTACATACTGATATACAACTGAACATCAGCAGGAGAGGACTCTTTAAAGTAGAGACACTACATACTGATATACACCTGAACATCAGCAGGAGAGGACTCTTTAAAGTAGAGACACTACATACTGATATACACCTGAACATCAGCAGGAGAGGACTCTTTAAAGTAGAGACACTACATACTGATATACACCTGACCATCAGCAGGAGAGGACTCTTTAAAGTAGAGACACTACATACTGATATACACCTGACCATCAGCAGGAGAGGACTCTTTAAAGTAGAGACACTACATACTGATATACACCTGAACATCAGCAGGAGAGGACTCTTTAAAGTAGAGACACTACATACTGATATACACCTGAACATCAGCAGGAGAGGACTCTTTAAAGTAGAGACACTACATACTGATATACACCTGACCATCAGCAGGAGAGGACTCTTTAAAGTAGAGACACTACATACTGATATACACCTGAACATCAGCAGAATTTGGCCTCTTTAAGGCTGAATATTGTATTTTGTATCTGTCTTTTCACAGCAAGATAAACGACAGCCACGTGTAGCTCTTTTCAGTTTCACCAGCCGGCACTAGATTTAA